TGGCCTTGTGTGTTGAGAGGCCACCCTCTGGCAGACAGCGTGGAGTGCAGAGCAGGAAACCAGCAGCCTGAATTCCAGGAGGCCTCCTTCTGCGGCCTGGAGCGAGGTTCTGCAGGCAGATGGGTATCCTTCCTGTATCCTGGGATTGGTTTCCACCAGGCATGCAGGGTGTGATGATGTAGGGTGTGATGACTGCTGGCATGGTAAGTTGTCAGGGGACACATGCCTCTAAGTGTGGATGTCACAGATCTGCTCCAGCTGCGAATGCAGGACAGTGTCCACCCACGCACAGGCAGAGAGCCAGACAGCCGGATTCTCTGAGCTATGACTTCTCCTCCCTGGGCCTCAGTTTCCTTTACCTGCAAAATGAGATAAAGACGGTCCTCATTTCAAGGGCTGTTCTGGATGAATGAGATAATTAGAAGATAATGTGCATAAACAGGATTACACAGCCACCGTAACACAGCTCTGCAGGGCTGACCCATGTGGGAAGGTTCTGGGTTCACATTTGTAGATATGGTCTGGGGCTGGTGAGGCTGGGGGTACATCATGACACAGGGACCTTGCTGGGAGTTCCTGCCTCTCTTGCCTCTCAGTCTGTCTCTCTTTAACTCCCTGGGGAAATTTATATATATATTTTTTTAATTTAATTTAATTTATTTATTTAAATTTAACCAGAGAGAGAGGGAAAGTGAGAAAGTAAGCCACCAGGCTTAGGACTCAAACCATGGTCAGCCATGTGGGAGTGTCCAGTGCCTTAACCACCACACCACCTACTGACTCTGGGGGATTAATCATTAAACAAATAATAATGAGAAGAATAAAGCCAGGCACATGGACTAGGATCCAGGCTGACTCTTCTCCAAGCCAGCTGTCTCTTGCAGTGTCCCAAGAGCCCAGAGCCTACCAGAGATCCGAGGTGATGAGGCCAGCCCCTCCCCCTACTGTCCCCAGAAGATCAAGTGCCAGTCATGGCCGCTGGGTACTGGCGACAGGAAGGGCTGGCCCAGGGCCGCTGTGGCCTAATCTGGAGCCCCAGGGAGCCTCCCCAGTTGGTGGAGGGATAGTGTCCCATCACTGGGGGCTGCCTCTGCCCCTTGGCCCTCCTACTCTTTGATGTGTGGATGACCACAGGGGGTGGGGGAGCCTTCCTGGCCCCAGGCCACTGCCTACGGAAGCCGCCAGAGGGGAAGGAGCTAAGGATGGTAATGGCACTCAGCTTGTGCTTCTTACACATCAAGCTCCACACTGAGAGAGGCATTTACAACCCAAGGGGCACAGTTACTGCCCTCATTGTGGAACTGGCTCAGTTTTATTTATTTATTTATTTGTTTATTTAAAGAGGTGTGTGTGTGTGTGTGTGTGTGTGTGTACTTGTTGGAGAGAGAAAGAGACAAGACAGTGAGAGGGAAAATGAGAAATCACCTCCCAGAGGGAATGGCCATGCTGCAATCCCTTCTCCATTCTCTTCCCAGGATCTTGGGCATACACACACTCACACCCAGAGTGACGACTTTCAAGTCACCGGGTCCAGGACTTGAACTGTGGTTGGCTACGTGGGAGTACAGTCACATAACCAACTGTACCATCTGTTAGCCCCAAGGCTCAGGAGTTTAAAACGTCACTTGCCCTGAAATGGGGACTGAACTACATTCTGAACCCAGACCAGCTAGACTCGTAGACTGCAGTCCAAGGAGCTAGAGGTGTCAGTGGGAGGTGACTCCCAAGCACCCCTGTGACTTCTGTCCCGTCCTCCCTGCAGCCTTGGCTCTTCAGTGGGGCCTCTTGGGGCTGAGGGTGAGTGAGCTCCCTAAAACCTGGTTCTCCATCGGGCAAGAAATGCCCACCACAGCCAGTGCATACCCTGGAGCCCTGGAGGTCCCCAACCTCCTCAGGACTGGCCCTGACTCCAGGTGATCTGTAGGGTCCAGCCCCATCTCAGGAGCCTAGCCAGGCTTATCTGCCCCCAGTTTTCAGTTCAACCCCTCTCCGTGCTCCACTCTAGAAAACAATCTGCTTACAAACCGGTGTCTGAGCCACCCACATGAAGCCTGAAGTGGTGATGGGACACACTCTGGACCCCAGGGCTGCTGCCTTCATTGCAATGACCCTTCCTCCCTCTATTGCATGAGTCTGAGGTGTGCCCATGGGGTAGGAAGAGGGGCCCAGCTAGCACCCGGCCCCTTGGCCTCATGTTAGGGTGGGTACTTTCCGGAGAAGCACTCCCTCCTCTCTGCCAGGGCCTGCTCTGTGCTTGAGCCGCAGTAGCCCCAGCTCCTCCCACCCGCCATGGGGCACTGTGTCCACAGCACCCACCTCCACCTCCTGGGACCTGCCTGGCACCTATCACCTCAAGCCTGACACAGGAACTGGGGCGAGATGAGTCCTATAGGCAGTCATGGCTGCACAGACGAAGAGCAGCGGTGGGAAGAGCCAGCAGGCTGAGCCCCTCCTCTCCTTTCTACAAGTCCCAGACCACACAGTCTTTCCTCCTTCCCAGCCTCCCCAGCCGCAGAAATGATCCCCAACGCTCATCTAGAAATTCTTTATTTACATTTTCTCTTAGAAAAAATATACAGATCTGGTGGCCTGTTGATTCCTCAGATTTGAGGTCTTTGTGGGAAGGCGAGAGGGTGAGGGGCGGCCTTTCAAAGCTGCCCATTGTCCATCGAGGGGTCTGGTCACCTGGCTCTGGAGTTGGGCTTCCCTGAGATCAGCCCTAGGGCCTGGGCAAAAGGAACATACCAGGCCTGGGGCAGGGTCAGCACAAGGAGGGGGTTTGGGAGGTGTCACAAGGAGGGGGTTTGGGAGGTGTCTGCACAGCCTGGTCATCAGGAGCTAGACAGGTCCCACAGGCTGGAGCCTTTGTCCTTGACTGACACAGCTCCAGGAACGGGCCCTTCTGTGGCTGCTGGGACAGACGTGTGAACATCTATCTCCCATGGGGACCAGTGACTTTGAGGACCAGGGACTATTTGCTGTTTTCTGTGAACCAATTGAGCACCGCCTCCTTGTTTTCTTTCACCCACTTGATGTTGGCTTTCGTCTTCTCCAGGGCCTGCTCCAGGGCCCGAGTGCCTGAGCCGAAGCCTGTTTCCATGTTGTCCTTCTTGAACTGCTCCAGCTGCCAGGAAGGCAAATGTTCTCAGCCCCAGGCTGGCTCTCTAATACAGCCCTGAGCGAAAGTTCTCCTAGAGCTCCAGCCTCCCGCTCCCCCTTTGGGGCCCTCAGGAATGGGGGCCCACCTGTTCCCCATGGTAGAAAGAGCCACTCCTTCACCTCTTCCTGGGGCAAAGTTCTTATCTATGCACAAGTTGCAAAGGAAAGCTGCCAGCAGAATGTAGCTCAGAAAGGTATCTGGCCATTGTGATATTTCACTGAGTTACCGTCTGGGTTTGGTTTTGTTTTAGAGAGATTTTTGCTATAGGAAGCATGCGCTTGCCGAGAGACAGAGACAGAGAGAAGGAAAGTGAGAAATCACCTCTCAGGGGGAAGGCCACGCAGCAATTCCTTCTCCTCCATTCCCTTCTTGGGATTTTGGACACACACATGAGTTTCAAGCCTCCGGGTCCAGGAGCTGAACCACGGTCAGCAATGTGGGAGTCCAGCACCTCAATCACTACATCACCTGCTAGCCCCTTGCTTTGTTTTTTTTTTAAATATTTATTTATTTAGTTTATTATTATTATCATTTTTTTAAATTTTGACCAGAAAAAGAGAGAGAGAAAGTGAGGAAGTAAGCCACCAGGTTTGGGACTTGAATCACAGTTAGCCATGTGGGAGTCCAGCGCCTCATCCACCAAGCCACCTGCCAGCCTCCCAACTTTGTTTTGTTTTAAATTGCTAAAGGGTACATGCACTTACCTGAGAAAGACAGAGACACAGAGAGAGTAAGTAAAAAACACCCCATATGGGGGATGGCCACGCCATCGCTCCTTTCTCTCCATTTCTCCCTCCTTTAGAGATTTTGGGCACGCGTGTGCACACATGTCCACGCAGTATGTCTTTCAAGTCACAGGGTCTGGGACTCAAACCCTGTGGTTGGCCATGCAGGATCTAGCCCCCTTTACCATCACTCCTCCAGCTGGCCCAACCCCGTTAATTAATTATTTTGCATAGCACACATGCACCAACGAGAGAGAGAGAGAAAGAGAGAGAGAGAGAAAGGAAATTGAGAAATTACCGCCCCACTCCCACCACCACCCAGGCCAGATGGCCACACTGCAGTCCCTTCTCCTCCATTCTTCTCTCAGAATTTTGGGCACGCACACACATGTGACCAGCGTGATTTTCAAGCCGCTGAGTCCAGAACTTGAACTGTGCAGATGGCCATGTGAGATCCAGCATCTTAACTGCCACGCCACCTGCTGGCCCCTTAACCCTCAGTTTTCAACTGAATTACAATCTCTACGCAATCGAGACAGGAGACAGGGACAAATGAGACACCACGTGGAAGCAAGCAGCCAAACCTGAAATGCAGAGATTTCTAAACCACAAATGATTCAGTTGCTTCAGTAAATAAATGGCAGTTTAAAAAGACTGTGAAAGATGAAAAGTTTCCAGCCAGGGCATCAGGCAAGAAGATGGAATCAAAGCATTCAGAATGGAAGCAGTTAACATTATCTGCTTGCAAATGACACAACGTTTTTTCTTTTTTTTCAGTTTTTGTCATAGGGCATGTGCTCTTGACAAAGAGAGGGAAAGTGAGAAACATCCCCCCTGGGGGGGGGGGATGGTCATGTTGTAATCCCTTCTCCTCTGTTCTCCTCCTGAGATTTTTGGGCACACACACACATGCCCAGTGTTATTTTTAAGCCACCAGGTCTGAGTCTCAAACCTTGGCCAACCATGTGGGAGTCAAGTGCCTTACCCACCACGCCATCTGCTGGCCCCACAACATTTTAATTTTAATCTCTGGAGGGCAAGTGATACAGAGAGAGATAGAGAAAAGGGTGGTGGGGAGACAGGAGCCCTCAAGAGGATTTTGTCCTGCGGTCCCCTTTCCCTAGCCTTTTAGGTGTTGGCAGGAGCCACGTGTGTCTCAGAGGCCTTGGAGATCTGAACTGGAGGTCAGCCATGTGGCTTCCAGCACTGCAGAAGAGCTACCAACTCTTTGAACAGGCTGGGCCTTTTCCTGTCATTGACCTCTGCTTGAGGGACCATGTCTTACCTGCTGCAGCTCATACTCGCTAGCAAATCGTCGGGTCACTGCCTGGATGAGGTTGGAGAAGGAGAAGGAGCCACCACCGTAACTACAGGGCAGGAGAGAGATCAAGGTGAGCGGGGCCAGCTCCAGGTGGCAGATAAGATTACAGTGAGGTGAGATGACAGACCTAGGAGACACTGCTAGGACGTGGGGCGTGGGCACTGGAGCACAGGTCTGACTGCTCGCTCCTTGATTCCTTTTTCCAGAGGATACGCCCACCAGCCATGTTTTTGTTCCAAGTAGGAAAAGGGATGGCCCGCTCCCCTCACCTTGTCTTTCCATTCCTGCCCCAACCCCAGACTCCAAGCTGGACTCCATTCTGACCACTCCTATACGGCATCCCCAACCCTACACGCAGACCACCCCAGGGCCTCCCAGCCTCAGCACCCACAGACTCACTCCTCAAAGAGCTTCTTCCAGTTGCTCCGGACAAAGTCCCAGACCAGAGTTTGCCCAATGACGTTGCTGGCAATGCTGCTGATGGTGGAAGTGGCATCCTGCTTCCGGATGTAGTTGGGGTTCAGAGTGTAAGTCAGGTACCTGTGCGGGTAGGATGCTGGGTGAGAGACCACTTCCAGGGTGGGCAGGCAGAGGGGTCAGGAGAGCCCTGTGCCAGCCTCCCAACACTACGCCTCCTCCTGCATGCTCACAAATCCCCCTGGGGTGTGCTAAGAGACTCTCTGGTCCTGCTTCCTTCAGTAGGTGGGAAACGGAGTCACCTGCACAGGGTGATGCTGTTATGCCAGGTGTCATGCCTGGCTTGAGAATGTCTGACAATGAATAAATGAAGGAAGGGATTCTAGAGTCCCAGGCCCACTCAGGTAGGGTGACCACTGCTGCCTTGGGCATGGAGGGTGGCTCTTCTTCATGGGGTCCAGGTGATGGCCTCTGAGGCCTGAGTGGGAACTAGGAGCCCTCATCCAAGGGCTTGAGGGCATGCTTGGCTGGACATCCCGAAGGACTAGAATGCAGCTACACCAGAGCCCTTGACAGAAGAAAATGAGTTGTCATTAATAAAGGCTAAGAGGCCACAGCAGTTAACAGCTTAAGACATGGACCAGACCTGGGTTCGAATCTTGCCTCTACCACTTATCAGCATTTCTGTTCTTTGAGGAAGTTGCTTTGCTTCTCTGACCCTCACTGTTCCCACCTGTGAAGTGGGGAAAGTACAGCTCCCACCTTAGCAGGTTCGTAAGGGTGGCTAGAAGGTTCTCTGCTGGGGGAAGGAGACTCACCGCCTCACTCAGGTCCTCACCTGTTCAGGATCCACACCTCGTTGCTGCAGGCCAGGGCTGCTCGGAGTTTATCAGCCTCATTTACCAGAGTGGCATTCCGGAACTGTTGGAAGGCGAAGTCCCACTCGTCTTCCCCGCCCTGGGCAATGGCATTGCAGTAGACAGTGGACCGCAGGTTCGGGGGGATCCTGGCATGGAGTGGGAGTGTCAGGTGCAGGGCAGCAGTGGGGAGAGAGGATGAGGGTTTGCTGCGCACAGGGCTATGGGGCCCCAGGTTCAGCTGGAGGGACAGATGGAGACTGGCAGAGGAGGTGCAGGGAGGAACTCACGGGTTGTGGCTGGGGTTGTCCATCCACTGCTTGAAGAGAGCAGCCACCATCTCCCGACACTCATTCAGCCCGTTGGAGCAGGCAGTGCTGATGGCGTTAATCTCGCTGTACCTGTCCCGAGCAACTCCTGCTTAGTGCCCTGCCCAGACTCCAGCAAGATTCACTCCCTGGGCTGGCTACTTATGTGGTGTTTAAGGGGCTAGATCCCACATGGCCAACTGCCCCGTTCAAATCCCAAGTGTGGTGTGTGTGCCCAAAATCTCAAGAGGAGAATGACGAAGGGATTGAGGAGTAGCCATCCCCGCCGGGGGAGGTGCTTCCTCACTTTCCCTTTCTCCTATGTCTCTCTGGCTAACACATACACCCTAGAGCAAAAAAATTTTTTAAATAATTATTTATTTTATTTTATTTATTCATCCATTTATTTTAATTTGACCAGAGAGAGACAGAGAGAGAGAGAGAGGGGAAATGAGAAAGCAAGCCACCAGCTCCAGGACTTGAACCGTGGTCGGCAATGTGGGAGTGTCTAGCGACTTAACCATCACGCCACCCGCTGGTCCCCCCTATAGCAAAATTAAAAAAATTTCTTGGGGTCAGCAGGTGGCGTGGTAGTTAAGGTACTGAACTATCACATGGCCGACTGTGGACTGAGTCCTAGACCTGGTGGCTTGCTTTCCTTACTCTTACTCTGTCTCTCTCTGATGAGTGCACATGCCCTATTACAATAATAATAATTAATTAATCTAAAAAAAAATTCACCTCCTGATATACAACTCCTGGCTGAAGCTGAAAGCTCTGTGGCCCTTGGCAAAGCCTAGGGCATGACCTTCCTTGGCCCGAGGCAACCCCAAGACTGTCCCAGCTTCAAGAGCCAGAACCATATGATGTCCAGAGGGTGAGGTGACCTCTGGGTTGCAGTTTGGGCCTCTATATTGAGGCCAGATGGACCCACAGTCCATACAGAGCCTCAGGGCAGGGGCGTCTGCTTCTGAGCAGGGTCTCTCCCTGCCTGGTGTCCCAGCTAACACTGAGAGCCCCAGAGAATCTCACCCAGGGGTGGCTCTTGATCCCCAGGTCACCTAGGACTTCTAAACCCATGAGGGAGTCATACTTACTGGTCCATCAGGTTTTCAGGCTGATTTTGCCAATCATTCGTGATATTTTTGAAGTGTAAGTAGAGGGGCGTGACCTGCTTCTTCAGGTAGTTCTAGGGGAAAGGAAACAAAAATAACTTCAAAGATTCATGTCTGACCTACCTGGAGCACCAAGAGCCCCTGAAGTGTCTGGGTGAGGGGGTCAGAGGTCAGGTCTTGCCCAAGGTCAGTAGCACTCAAGGCTAGGCTTCAGATGAATAAGTTGAGGTTCTTTCTCTTCAAAGCCTTAGTCACTTTTTGCCTAAGTCTCTTCTCATCTTCTTAACAATGACGGGGATACAGCCTGAGAAATGTGTCGTTAGGTGACCTCATCACCGTGTGAATGCTGTGGGGTGCCCGTACACAATCCTAGATGGCATGCCCTACTACACGCACCTGCACACTCCTCTTCGTGAACATCAGAATGTGAGCCCCACCCCACGGGGCGGAAATCCTGTGCAGACTCTCTGGCTCAACATGGAAGACTGGCTTCTGTGCCAACCTGAGTTCACATCCAAACGTAAAAGGAATAAACCCCCGAGGACAAAAAGAACAAGAGAAGAAACAGTGGGTGTGACAGCAACACAGTTTAGGCAACTGGGACAGGAGGAGTGGGAGATGTCTCCATTTGGCAGAGTGGGAGAATCTGCAGCAGAGCGTCTACGGACAGGCAGATAGAAGCAAGGAGACTTGCTAGGACAAGGCTCAGAATTCAAGGGACAGGAAGAGGGCAGGGGTGAGGCAGGAGCAGCAACAGGGAGATTGTGTCCCTCTGTAGAGGAAGCAATTAACCCTCACATTCCCACCTCCCTCCTTGTTCCAAACTGAACCAGAGAGGGTTAGAACGTAGGGTCACCGGGCACCATGGGAAGGTTGTTGGGTTATAACGAGAGTCAGAGGTGGAAGTTCCCCTTCTGACCAGGATACTGCTAATTTCCTTCCCCACTCTGACCCCAGAAATTGAGCATCACCATACGAGCCTCATTCACACTGCAGAAACCGAATGGTCTCAAGAGAACACACCCATGGACATAAATTTTGGAGGGTCCGCAGTGAAGTTATTTGGCTACATAGTCACCCCCCAATGAGACCCCCCAATTGACAGAGTCCACCCCCCACGGAGCTTCCGATCACTTTTTCCTGTCTCTCTCTCAAAACCAAAGAGGCAGCTCTGCCTCCAACTTGAAAGGAGACCAAAACAAACAGAAAAGCCAGAGGAAACAAGTCAATGGGAGAAACAGAATGCGTCACAGAAGCCTGTAATAAATATCCTCGAGGAGTGAAGAGGAGTTAGTGCACAGGACTCTGGAACCAGAAAGAGCACTGGGAAACTTAAAAATATGATAGAAGGGGGTCAGCAGGGAGCATGGTGGTTAAGGGCATTGGTCGACTGTGGTTTGAGTACCGGACCTGGAGACTTGCTTTCGCTTTTTCTCTCTCTCTTTCTCTTTTAAATTTTTTAAAAAATTTTCATCATTTATTTTAAATTACTTTAATTTTTCTTTTAATTTGACCAGAGAGACACAGAAAGAGAAAGAGGTGAAGTGAGAAAGCAAGCCACCAGGTCCAGGACTTGAACTGCAGTCTTTTTTTTTTTTTTTTTTGAGAGGTTTTTGCTATAGGGCATGTGCGCTCCCCAGACAGACAGAGACATAGAGACAGAAAGCGAGAAATCACGCCCCAGGGGGGATGGTCACGCTGCAATTCCTTCTCCATTCTCCTCTCGGGATCTTGGGCACGCGCCCGGCGTGAGTTTTAAGCCACTGGGTCCGGGACGCGAACCGCAGTTGACTACGTGGGAGTCTGGCGACATAGCCATTACGCTAACTGCTGGTTTGAACTGCAGTCTTTCATGTGGGAGTCTAGCGATGTACACCATCTGCTGGTCCCATCTCACTTTCTCTTATTCTGTTCTTCTCAGTCAGATAAAATAAATAAATAAATAAAGTTGGATAAAATAATTCTTTAAAAATAAATAAATAAAAATATAGAAGAAAATAATCTTCAGGCAAGGGGCATGTGAAACTCGGGGAACCACCCAGTGGGCAGAATAAAAAGACAACAAGCTAGAAAACAGGGGAGATCAGAAGACAAGAGGACCAAGGCAAGAGAAACAAGCTAGATTAACAGGGGTCCCAGAAAGAGATGCTTGGAGAAAAAAAAATGGGGAGGGGGATGAATATTTAAAGAAATAATGCAGGGACCCACACAGTGGCCTGGTGGTTAAGGCACCAGATCCCACATGGACAGTTCAAACCTTAAACCTCATAGCTTGACAAACCCACCAAAGTGTGTGTGCGTTCCCCAAATCCTGGCAGGTGGTAGAGATAGAGAAGAGATCGTAGTGCGATCAACTTCATGAGAAGTGCTTTCTCCCTTTCCCTCTGTCTGTCTCTCTTTCTCTGGTGAGTGCACATGTCCTCTGGCAAAAAAAAAATTTTTTTAGAGAGATTTTTGCTATAGGGTGCATGCTCTTGCCGGAGAGACAGAGAGACAGATAGCAAAAAATCACCCCCCAAGGGGGATGGCCACACTGCAATCCAGTCTCCTCCATTCTCCTCCTGGGATGTCAGGCACACATGTGCACATGCCTGGTGTGCGTTTCAAGCCTCTGGTTCTAGAACTCAAACCATGGTCGGCTATGTGGGAATCCAGCCACATAACCATTACGCCATCTGCAGGTCCCCAAAATTATTTTTTTAAATAAAAGAAGCAATGCAGGGCCAGCAAGTAGTGGTGGTTAAGGCACTGTACTCCCACATTGCTGACCATGGTTCAAGTCGCGTACCTGGAGGTTTGCTTTCTCACTTTCTCATTCTCTTTGTCTTTCTCTGGTCAAATTAAGCAAATAATAACAATAAGCTGTTTTGTTTGTTTGTTTGTTTGTTTTGTTTTTTAAGCAATTACAGGGACCAGCAGATGGTGTAATGGTTACATTGCTGGACTTCCACGTAGTCAACCGTGGTTCGAGTTCTAAACTCACTGGCTTAAACTCACATCAGGCACATATGTGTGCGTGCCCCAAAATCCCAAGAGGAGACTGGAGGAGAAAGGACTGTGGCATGGCCATCCCCCCAGGGAACTGATTTCTCAGTTTTTGTCTCTCTCTGTCTCTCTGGCAAGTGCATGTGCCCTATAGCAAAAATCTCTCTCTAAAAATAAATAAATAAATAAAAGCAATACAAAAATATTTTAATACTAAAAGACATAAATATCCAGATTGAAGAAGAATAATTAGGAAAAATTCTAACCAAGCCACCAGGATAGAGAGGAGAGCCCAAAGTTTCCAGAAGGAGTGAAAACTGGTCACCTTCAAAGAACTGGGAAAAAAAGAAAAAAAGGCTCTGAGCTTCTTAATAGTAACACAAAGAGCCTGATGTCAGGGAGTAAGACCTTAAGTATTCTAATAATTTCCAACCCAGACACTTTTTTTTTTTTAAAAAAGAGATTTTTTGCTATAGGACATGTGTACTCACTGGAAAGGCAGTAAAAGACAGAGATAGAAAGTGAGAAATCCCCCCCCACCCCTGGGGGAAAATGGCCACACAACCCCCTTCTCTATTCTCCTCTCAGGATTTGGGGCATGCATGCACATATGCCTGGTGTGAGTTTCAAGCTGCTGGGTCTGGGACTCAAACCGCAGTTGACCATGTGGGAGTCCAGTGCATTCACCACTACACCACCTACTGGCTCATCCCAGATACTTTTATACTTTTATACCCACTGAGCTTTCGATCCAGTGTGAGAGTGGAATAGAGACATTTCAGACACTCTAGCTCAGAAAACCCACCTCGCATGGACCTTCTCTCCAAAACTCCCCTAAAAGATGTGTTCTCCTATGAGGGAGAAAAATCAGGAAAGAATTTGTGGGATTCAGGAAACAGAAGGTGCAGCAGAGGAAAGGACAGGGGACGGGCCCCTGAGCTGGGGAGCTGTGTAGCATTTCTAGAAGGAAGCAAGCAGACAGAAGACCCCAGGAAGGATGCCTCCAGAAGAAAATAAAACAGATGTTTTATCTGTTTATATTATCGTTGTAAAGGGAGAAAATATAAACCTAGTATCCTCTGTGGCTCAGCAGAGAATACTATTTACACAATCACAATAAAGCAAATGCTGAATATTGATTTGATCAGACACTGTGATCTTAGAAGGGTGGGAGAAATCTGGTAAGAAAGTTAAAACTTCATTTACCAAAATAACTCATTGACCATAATAGGATATTAATAGATCAACTAAAATTTTTTAATAAAAAAGAGATCATTTCAAGGAGGAATGATCTAATGGCTATGTAATAGTCTATCACACGTATATCCTATAGTTTAATTTAACCAATCCCTAACTCTCAGGCACTTAAATATTTTTGTGTTTTGCTTGTTGTTTTTTGTCCTTTGTGTTTTGATAATGCAGGTAACATCTTATGAATGTAGTTTCATTCAGAACAAGGTTGAGTTTCCTTTTGGTCTCCTATGAATGCACCTCACCCCCCAAGAAGCCCTCTGTTCAGCAATGAAATACTTCAAAGCCTACTAATACCAGCATCCTCCTCACAGCCCCAGAGGGCTGACTGGCAGGTTGTGGCTTGCTCATTTTACAGGCGTTAACTAGGGCTGAGAAAGGGTTGTCCAAGGCTACACAACTGGTAAAAGATAAGCCTTCTGCCTCCCAACATGGGGGCCTGTGTTGTTTCTGTACTTTCCAAAAGCATTAATTTCCCAGTTTTCCTGTTAGTGAATCTGAGTAGCAGCAAGCGACAATTTTCTTATGCCCCACCTGCCTCCTCACCTGTTCCCTTCTCCTCCATCCCTCTTACCCTCTCGCCCCTTTGCCAAGCCTGCCAGGCCATGTTTCTATTCACTTCCTAATGGTGCAGTTTCTGGCACCAGGGTGATTGGTTCTTGAACCCAGCCCTGCAACTCCATACCTTCATGGGGCCATAGACCTCGGAGCGGTCAAACATGAGCTTGAAGTAGCTCAGGCTGCTCAGGGCGGCCTGCCAGGGCATGTACTCTGTCTCCTGGTTCAGGAAGAGGGTGTTGTCCAGCGCCAGAGTGACAGGGACCTTTTGGGCACTGGGGACAAACAGAGGGGCCCAAGTAAGCACCCCACGCAGCCCAGCCACACCTTGGAAAGCCCAGTCCAAGCCCTCGAGGATGTTCCTCAATCCTGGGCCCACCATCTCTTCCTCAAACCTGGAGTCCCAGAACCCCAGCTCAAGCATTTGCCATTGGACAAGGAATGACACAGATGCTGACTGGTGTCACAAACAAGGGCCCGCCCTCACGCATTGCTGGTGACATTCCTTTGCTTATTATCCACATTTTACAAATGAGGAAACAGGCTCAGAGAAGCGAACTGACTTGCCCAAGGCCACAGAGCTCACAGGAAAAAGAACTAAGATTTGAAAGGACAAAAAGACTGAGCTGTCAACTCTACACCCTCTTCTGACTTGCTGGGCACTCCAGGCCTTCCTTCCCCCTCCTCAAGCCACCTGTGCACATTTGGTCTACAAATATCCACGTGGACAGGTGACGTCACTCATCAGAGAGCTTGCCACCTGACCACAGATGGCAGGTGCTCAGTCAGTGTTCGTGCATCCATGCTGCAACCCTCCAGTCCTGCCCATCCTGATTTTTTGGGCACCTATATGATGGCCTGGCACACACCACCCTCAGAGAGAGCTTGGTACCATGAATAAAGCGTGGCTTTGGAGTTGGACAGGTCTGTGTCAGGCTGTCATGGGCAACTGCATGGCCGCAGATGCTCAAACTGAGTGCCAGATTCCTCATCCGTGAAACGACATGTGGGTTCCCAGGAACGGGGTACAGGTCACACCAGGAACCTCCACACAGCCCCGACTCATCACAAACCAGACTGGGTTTTCTGTGGCTGGACCAGGAAGGGGGGCACGCACCTAGCCAGGTTGAAGGCGTCGTTGATAACCTGTGCCCGATTGATGACTGGGATGACCTAGAAGGGGAGATAGAGCATGTGAGCTCAGGTTGGCAGTGGGGCGGGCTTGCAGTCTGGTGTCCCCTCCTGGGGCAGGGACAGGGTCGGGAGTGGTGGACACCCACCAATGGGTCTGTCTGCAGCTGAGTCTGAATCTTCCTCCAGTTGTCTTCATCATAGTTCACCTGGTAATACCCTGTCACGTTGAGGTTCGGCAGCACCCACTCATTGGACGTTGTTTGGAACAGCTGGCTCTGGGCTGTTGGGGAGGACCGGAGTGGAGGGTTGCTCAAAGACCACAGGCTGACCCCCAAACCCTCTCTCCAAACCTAACAAGAGCAGCTGCCCCTGTGACCTGGCACCAGCTCATTCTTGAGCTTCAGCCAAGAAGCAGACGGTCAGGGTGAAGAACTGCCAGGTGACCTCGCAGAGTATGTGCCATCTCTGGACTTCAGGCTGCCCTGCTCCCCAGACTCTGTGGCCAGACCACTAACAGCCGCCTGGACATCTTCATGGCTGTTTCCCCTGCTCCCACCCCCTTTTCCTACTCCTCCCTCTCTGGGGCTCCTCACATCCCAGGAAACTCCCTTCTCCCCTCTCCTCCCATCCACTCTGCATCCCTAACACCACTCACCACTTCCCTGGGGCTTAGCACGCTCTCCTCCCAGTTCCCCCTCCTCTCATTCCCTTCCATACTTTTTTTTTAGAGAGAGAGATTTTTTGCTATAGGGCATATGTGCTTACTGGAGAGACAGAGAAAGAGATTTTTTGCTATAGGGCATATGCACTTACTGGAAAGACAGAGAGAGAGAGACTAAGAGACAGAAAGCGAGAAATCATCCCCCAAGGGGGATGGCCATGCAGTAATCCCTTCTCCTCCATTCTTCTCTTGGGATTTTGGGCACACATGCATAAGTGCCCAGCGTGAGTTTCAAGCCACCAGGTCTGGGACTTGAACCATGGTCAACTACATTGGAGTCCAGTGATATAACCATTGGGCAATCTGCTGGTCCCCCCATACTTTCTTTTGGCAGATAGAGGGAGCCTTCCATACCACAGGTCAGACTCGGTTGCTGGCCCACTTCCACCTGCCCCAGCTTCATCTCAAAAGCACACTTCAATCCTCACACTCTCTCCTACCTCTGGGGCCCAGCACTTACCATTCCCTCCTCCTGGAATACCTTTCTCAGCTGCACTACCCTGGCATAGTCCTACTCTTTCTCTGTGACTCAGCTCACCTCCTCCAGGAAGCCTTTTTTGACTTTTCCATGAAATTGACTCTTGCTCCTTCGCAGTGCCCTGTCCTCAGGTCCCCTGTACTGTTAAAAGCTCTCGATGCAGCTCTGAATTTGTTGTTGTCATAGGGCATGTGCTCTCACCAGAGAGAGGAAAAGTGAGGGAAAGGTACCCCCCAGGGGAGATGGCCATGCCACAATCCCTTCTCCTCTTAGGGTTTTGGGCATGCATGCATGCACACGTGCTCAGCATATTTTTCAAGCTGCAGGATCTGGGACTTGAACCACACAGTCAGCCATGTGAGATCCAGTGCCTTAATCTCCATGCCATATATTGGCTCAGCAGTGCAATGTTTTTAACTGCTCGTCTACCTTCCTTTCATCGGTGGCCTCGGCAAGGCAGGGGACAACTCGCCTTGACCTTCTTCTTCTCAGTGCCTAACAGGGTAGGGCTGCTCTTACCATGTGCCAGGCACTATTTCCAGCATTTTAAGTAGATTCTATCCTTTAATCTTCATACAAGCCAAGGGACTAGCTATTGTTCTTAGCCCCATCTTATAGATGAGGAAACAGAGACCAGAGAGGGAGGATAACTGGCCTTGAGCTGCACATAGCCGGGCAGCAGCAGAGTGGGGACTGAAACCAAAGATGCTGGCTTTATTTGTGGAATGAAATAATAAAGGACACCCTCACCGAGGCCTGCCACAATCCCAAAACATGCACCAGGAGCTAGGAGTATAGGGTGGGGACTACAGCCTGCTAGAGCAGGGCTGGGTTACCGTTTTTGACACCCTCCAGCCAGTAGTTGTCCTGATCTCTGCCGTTTCTGATGGAGGAGATGGGTACAATCCACAGGTAGCTGCCGCAAGAGACCCAAAGGCAGGTGGTGAGAGGCGGCAGGTCCTGGTTTCCACCAGCCCAGGGCAGTGCTGCTCAGGCTCTCAGTTCTAACTCTGGCCTCAGGCACCCCACACCCCTGCACACACACCCCCTAGCCTGAATGGAGTGCGTGTCTGCACCACCGGGGCTGGTCTTGCTGTGTGAGGGGGGCCCACAGGCACAACCCCACCCCACCAACGCCTCACTTGAACTCTGAGGGGCGGGTGACATTGGACTCTGGGTCAAGGAGGAAGTGCTCCTGGGAGATGATCCCTGTGCTGGTGTCCACGGTGATAACTGGGAAGCCCATCTGCAGGATCCAGCGGTCCATGATGTTGCGCACAGTGGTGGGCAGCTTGATGGCCGTCTGATTGTCCACAGCCTGTTGGGGGAACCAGAGGGCAATACCGTCGGTGGACCACCCTCTTCAACCCTACCCTTTCAGGACAGCCCCTGCAGGTGGGAGGCCAGTGCTGGAGTCCCCATCCAGCTCTGCCTCTTCTGGCTACTTGGTGTTTGCTGGACAAGCCAGGGATTCTCCAGCTCTGGTTTATCCCATGTCAATTAAGCAGACCGAAGTGGCTACCCACTCTGTAGCTCACCCTGAGGGGTGTGTGTGTGTGTCAGGGAGGGGCACCAGGATGCCACTCAGTCCTTCTGAACAAGCGGAAAGATGAGAAGGAAGAGGGGACAGAAATGAGGGAGAAGCAATATTTAGTGCTTTGTCACTCTCGAGGGGTATGAAGGAAATGCACCAGACCAGGGTCGAAGGGACTGGCTTAGGGGTGGTGTCACTGTCTTTTTTCACACATGTGCATTGCTTTCGTAATAAACATCTGTTTATAACTAAAAAAAGAAAATGCTTCAGAACAGAGCAAAAGAGAAGGGCTGAAGCTGAGGGGAGATCAGCTCCTGGGGGCTGCAAATGGGGCTTAGTTACAAAGAGAGTGAGGGGGCTGGAGGGGCTTGGGCACTGGGGAGTGAGGGTGGCTGGACAGGAGGCCTGGGAAGGGGAATTGGGGCTCAGGAGGCTGGTGAGGACAGGCGGGGGTGTTGGTGAGGAGGAGGGTTGCTTCAGTTCCTGCAGCTCTAGGAGCTGGGCAGGATGGGGCGGGGAAGGTGGCCTCTGGGGAAGGCAGGAGAATGCAGGTGGCTGGGGGAGGGGTCTGCCCACACAGGGGTTGCCTGGGTGGGTGTTGACAGGAATGCAAGGGGAACAGCAGGTCAGAGTTTGTGCTGAGGGTGGTGCTGTGTGCAAAGGCTGCTGGGAGGGGCCCAGGGCGCAGGGCAGCCAGAGTGCTGAGTAGGGTGAATGCCTGGCTCCAAAGTTCCAGGCGGGGCAGGTTTCCCAAGAGGAAGTGACTCCCAGCTGCTGTCTCCCCCATCACAGAGCTGGCTACAGCGTGAGGGGGGCTGCTGGCTGGGGGGTCTTGACCCCAGCTTTCATAACTTCCTCTTTCAAGGAGCTGTGGCTGTACCCATTTTACAGATGAGCAACCAAGGTTCCAGATGACCTGCCTGGGCCGGCAGGCAGTAGAGCGAGGCACGTTCTTACACATGTGCTCTCCCCAGGGGCTTTCGGCACCTCTGGACCCTGAAAGGAAGGCTTCAGAGGCTGGTTGTTACTGACCTTCTGCAGGTGCTCCCACAGGTCCAGGTATATGGTGTTCTTGTAGGCAAAGGTGTGGAGGTAGGACTGTGGAGAGACAGACACAGTGAAGGCTGAGCTGGTGCCCCCCAACTCCACCTCTGTGGTTGCTGGGGCTTGAGGACAAGGGGCAGGGGTGTAGGAAACCCACCCGCGGCTGGGGGAGGGACACAGTACTCACTGCCAGGCCCTGCTTGAACAGGTCCTCAGTCAGGAAGCTGGAGAGCATCCTGAGGACGGAGGCGCCCTGCGGGGAGGGAGGGGGCTTAGAATTCTGCACTGAGACACCAGGACCCTGTGGCCACAGCAGGCTGGTCAGAGCCCCCCACCCTATGCCCACTGCTGTCTCAGGACCAGCGTGGAGCCCGGGGCAGCACCTTGCTGTAGGAGATGGAGTCGAACAGCTCGCTGATCTGGGCCGGCGTGTTGATCTCCTCGGCGGGGGTGGACAGCGGGTGAGAGGAGGCCAGTGCATCCACAGCCATCACTCGGTACACGTCATTCAGCACCATGAGGTCTTTCTGCAAATCCCTGAGAGCCCTCAGGAGGCTGGTCTGGGAAGGGGCAACCTGGGTCTTCCTCCACCGCACCCCTACCCAGGGCAGCAGCTCACCAGGTTCCAGGTGGGCTCTGCGTAGTCGGCGCCCAGGTACTCCACGTAGGAGGCAAAACCCTCATTCAGCCAGAGGTCGTTCCACCACTCCACAGTCACCAGGTTCCCGAACCACTGTGGGAGTGTGGGGGAGCTGGCCAGTCACACAGGCCTTGGGTCACAACAGTAGCCAGAACTACCCTATCCTGGGTACCAGCCACCTGCCAGGCACAGGCTGGGGACCTTCGCGACATCACCATGACTCCTCCCTGCTACCCTGCCAGATGGCACCCTCATTCCTCTGCACTTCCCCGGTCGGGAGGTTACCTGGTGGGCCAGCTCGTGAGCTATCACGGTGACCACCCGCTCCTTGTTGCTACTGGAGGAGGACAGTGGGTCGAACAGCAGAGAGTTCTCCCGGTAGGTCACCAGCCCCCAATTCTCCATGGCTCCGGCATTGAAGTCGGGCAGGCCGATCTGGTCTGGGGAGGTGAGACCATTGGCAAGATGGGCTCAAGTGTGAAGCCCCAGTCACCACCTCCCTTAAGGCCCCTCACTCACCAGATTTTTGTAGTGGGTAGGGCGTGTCATAGTGTCTGGCAAAGAAGTCTAGGATGGGGCCTGTCACATTCAGGGCATAGGCACCGTGGCCCTCCTGGATGGCACTGGGCCGGGCCCAGATCCGGATCTGCCAGGTGGGTGGGAGTAGGTCAGGGACCCTCTTGGGTCCTGGTGCAGGTGGGTGGAACCTAGTGCACTAACAGGCTGGGGGATCCCCAGTGGGTCTGGGCCAGGAAACTAACTGGGCCTGATCAGCAGAGGAGAGGAAATGGGGGCTCTGAGGGGTTTTTGGGTCCTGTGGAGGGACTTTTGAGGAAAAATAACCATCATAACCACCATCTATCTGGCACCCGTGGGTCAGAAACTCCCTTCATGAAAAGGAATCAATATGCCCATTTTTCAGATGTACAGACTGAGGCTCAGAGAACCTAAGACATTTGCCCGAGATCACTCAGAGCTGGGATTCTAATGCTGGCCTAACAATTTGGAAGGTGGTACAGGGATGAGGACAACAGGACGACAACTCAAGTCAAGGCCACGGTGGACAAAGGACAAGTGGGCACAGCTTCGTACCAAGACATTGTTATCAGACTCCATCGACACGTTCTCGAACTCGCTGACAATGTAGGCCAGCAGGTAGGTGGACATCTTTGGCGTGGTTTGGAACTCGGTGACAACCCAGTTGGGGTCATCCGGTAATGGAATGCCGGTGGGATCTGGGTACGGAGCATAAGATCATGTGTGGAGGCACTCTCTCTTCTGCCCTGCACCCCAGCCCCGGGTGTGTGCTCCCCCAGGCTGTGTGGCCCCAGGCCTCACCTTTGGGAAGCATGTTGGACAGGGCCTTGAGCTCTTTGGGGTGGATGAGTGTGATGTCAAAGGTGGCCTTCATGGCTGGCTCGTCAAAGCACGGGAAGGATTTCCGGGCATCTGCAGCCTGCATTTGTGTCGTGGCCACCACCCTGCCCAAACCAAGGCATTAGAGACTGCCAGGATGGGCAGGGTTGGGGCTCTGAGATGGTCCTGAGCGTGCAGGGGAAGGGATGCAAGGAAGGCTGTTCTAGCCTAAGCTCCACCCCACCAGCTTCCTCCAGGCAGCCTCAGACCTCCGACAGGCCAATGGACCCCAGGAGACCAAAGTCAAAGTCCTGGCAGGCCTCGCCCCTGTATGAGCTGGGGTACCTCTGGAAAGGTCCTCTCCTCTGAGCCTCAGGTTTTCTGTCTGTCCAGGGGAAATTCTCTTCCAGAGTCCCTGACTCCCCAGTGTGGGAGGGAGGCCCTTCTGCTTTGTCATATTGGAACATGGCTATTCTCCGGGCAGCCGTAGAGGAAGTGATGGGCTAGCCAAAGGCCCCAGAGGGTTCAGAGGTCTCAAACCCAGGCCCTTTCTCATCCCTCAGAATCGGCCCCACCAGGCAGAGCTGGTCCACACTTACTTTTTGACGTCCCCATCCATGTACTCGCTGCGGTAGAAGCCTGCCAGGTCGTCAGCCAGCTCCCCCACGAACTGGCTGTCCATCTCGTACTGGCTGCCTTTCACCAGGGAGCCCTTGAGGTGCACCACCAGGTACTCGGTGGGCTCTATCAGCTCAGTCCTGTCGATGGCAGGGGGCTGGGAGCCCCCCACGCCCCGTAGGACCACTCTGTGCCCTCCGGTGATGGTGTAGTTGAGCTTTTTGCTATGGATGATGATAACATCGGTGGCCTCTGTGCAGTTAAAGCGAACAGTGCTTGAGCCCTCGAAGACATAGAGGCCTGCACTGTTGGGGGTGAGGTAGGGCCTCAGCCTCACTCTGTAGGATTCGGGGATCAGAGTCTTGGGTAGGCGGTATCGGTTCCACGGTTTGCTTTGATCCAAGGTGGTGGCCGCGGTGGTCGAGGGCGGTGTCGTGGGGACCACTGTGTTGCTCTGAGCGTTCTTGTTCTTCTCCTGGGAGTACACCACGGACAGGGCGATGATGGTGCACAGAGCTGCTACACCCAGCAAGATGCCCAGGATGCCCAGGGACTTGGAAATGTAGAAGCCCTTGGCCATGGTGAAGGTGGGCAGGGAGCGTGGGTTGGCTCAGGAGAGGCAGGGAACGGGGCAGCCTCGGACCAGGCTTATATCCCCGAGGGGGAGGAGCCTCGGTGCCAGCAGACTGGGCAAAAATTAACCAGGGCTCAGACAGGCAAAGGTCACTGGGCTGGTCAGGAGCACGCTCTGCCGGGGCTGCGGAGAGGAGACCCAGGGACGGTGCACAGAGCGCGGCTGCTTCGGGGTGCCTGCTGGGAGCAAAGAGTGTCCAGTTACAGGCTGCAGGCAGCCTGGGAACCAGGCCTAAGAGCTGAAGGGCAGGCTGCAGGCTGCGGGCCCAGAGGGTAGAGGGGGTGGCCAGGTGGCATTGATCTGCCAGGGAGCTGAGATGGTGGGAACAGCAGCAGGATCAAAGGTAGAGTTGGGCAAGGACTTCCCAGGGACCAGAGGTAGGAAGTGCACGGAGAAGAGGAAGTTGGTTCCCAGCTCCTGTCAAGAACATGCTGGGTCACCCTGTGGGCTGGGTCTCTGGAAAGATGCCAGGGGCTCCTAGTGACACCATGCCAACCTCCCGTGCATTCTTCCAGAGCAGGGAGTTCTTCCAGGTTCCCCTCCCTTTTCCCTCCTGCCAAATACTTTTCCCTCAATTAACGATTCACTGAATAAAGTGAAGTGAGTCGGTTTATCTTTTTTTTTTTTAAGAAAAAAAAAAAAGGTAAGGGGGCTAGGGGAGTCTTCGCCTTGGCTCAGCTCTGACTTAACCTTTCTGGACCTCTTTCCTCGTAAATAAATGGCAATATGACAGTATTTACCTCTCAGATTTGTTGAACAGATTTAACGAGAAAACATATTAACCACCACGTGGTAGACCCTAGCAGTCATTCCCTTCTTGCTCGCCTGGCGCTCCACCACTGCCTCATTTTCTACACTTGACAGAAATGAAGATGTTCTTTATCAGGTAGTAAAACCTGCCCTTATAGGAAAGGTGTTCGCTATCCCCCTTCCCACCCGCCAGCTCAGATCTCAAGGGCACCTGACCCTCACCCCCTAACCCAACTCATCCTTAACTCGAAGTCCTTGGTCAAAGTTCATCATCTGTGTGGATACAGCTGCACGCTTCCGACTCCCCTCTTTTACTCAGGCCTCTGCAAACCAGTTCATCACACAAATTGGATCACTGTATGCCACTGCTTACAGCTTCCTTTTGTTTGTAGCATCCCGACTAGACCTTCTAAAGGGACTACAAGTCTAGGTGTGGTCAGCCTGCCCTTTTCCCAGGGTCATTTCCACCACGCTCCTCTTGGTGGCAGTATTCTAGTCACTCTGGCCTTCATCCAGTCCCTCTACCCTGGGGCCTTTGTACATGCTGTTCCCTCTACCTGGGCTGTCTTTTCTCTCCTCTGGCCCTGATTAATCTCTATTTTGCCTTCATCTTTCTCCAAGAAGTCATCCCGACCTCCCTGACTAGGTCAAGTTCCTGTTAGCTCTAGGAGTCCCACAAACCTCTTCTTCACAGCCCTAGAACTCAGCAAAGTTTTCCATTTGATCTATGTGGTGCCAACTTGAATCCTGGACTCTCTCACGACAGCAGGCCCCTGGCTGCTTCTGTGCACCTGCACTTCATGGTGGCTGGCACAACAGAGGTGCTGGATACCTATCTGGGGAGTGAATGCTCGCATGCACAAATGGGCAAGGTAGTACACGGTAGTCCAGGAAAAGCTCCTCGCTGCCCCAGAACTGTCTACCTCCTCCAACCACGGCAGACAGGTAGGACTCTCGTCAGGCCTGGCTTCTCAGGGTCACATGCCTGTCTGCTCCCCTCGGCTTGTCTTCCCCTCGATGGCCTCATTCAACTGCTGCCCGCCGTTGCCCCTGAGCCTGCATGAAAGCTTGTTAGATAAATGCATGCGTTAATGGAATGCACACATCCATGAAGTCATTCAGGCATGAGTGCAAGAGAAACTGACTGCCACCTTTTGCCTGGCCTGCAGAGTCTGGGTCTGAGCGCAGGGCCTTTGGGGAATCCTGGGTGCTCGCTTTTCAAACTGGGGTGCTCTGAGTCCTTGTCATCTCCCCTTTCTCTCTAGAGACCAACCCCTGCGTCTTAGTCTGGAACCAGTGTGGACTTCCCCCTCCAGTGATCAGTGGCACCCCATCAGGTCTGGGCTGATGGCCAAGGGGTGCTAGCCAAGTGTCCAGGGGAGGGCTCCAGCTTGGGTGGGGGAGAGAGGGAACAGCTGCTCCCCAGGGGGCACAGCATACACTTGTCTCTGTTCACCAGCATAGAGTCCACCCAGGGAGGCCACCTTTCCAGACCCCTGTAGGCTGGCCCTCAGGGGTCATGAGTCTCCCTCAATGGCATCTCATTGTATCCCTGACTAGGCTTACAGCCCCTCCCACCTATGCCACAGAAAAATCCACAGTCTGCTTGGTTTAATCCCATCTCCAAACAAAGAAGGAGGTCCTGCCTGGCCCACTGTGGGCTCTTCCTGTTTACTTTGGACATGGACCACAGGCCCAGCTGGCTGGAGTCTTTGCTGTCTTGGAAAGGGGCTCTGGTCTTCCAAGTTGGTGCAGGAGGCAGCCCAAAGTCAGCCCTATGAGAGGCCCTGCTCTAGGCCCTAGGCCAGTCCTGGCTGGCATGCAGAGGGGTGCATGCTTTGCACTTCCACTCTCAGGAGTACAGAGAAGGGCCCCCCTCCAGTCTCTTGCTGCAATCCAGGCCTGGCCACCTCCACGCCTCATTGGGCAGTCACTCATCCCCTCCAGCACATCTCAGCAGACGGATCCTCCCCTCCCAAGAGTGTTGGTGCGTGTAAGTCTCCCACTGAAACCTGGTCCCCAGCTCCTCACTGCCTGAGGAATGAATCTTTAATTCTGGCTTGGGCTTCAAGACCTTCTGTGAACTTGACCTTCCGGCCTCTCTTTCCACTGCCCACTGTGGTTCCAGCTGCTAGCATTTCTCCAAACCCTGTGGGCTTTTTTTTTTGGAGAGGTTTTCGCTATAGGGTGCGTGCATTCGCCAGAAAGACAGAGAGAGACAGAGAGATAGAAAGCGAGAAATCACCCCCCAGGGGGGATGGCCACGCCGCAATCCCTTCTCCTCCATTCTCCTCTTGGGATCTTGGGCACGCATGCACATGCGCCTGGCGTGAGTTTAAGCCGCCGGGTCCAGGACTTGAACCGCGGTCGACTACGTGGGAGTCCAGCGACATAGCCATTACGCTATCTGCTGGTCCCTCTGTGGGCTTTTTCATCCCTCTGCAGAGGCTCATCCCCTTTCTGCTGCCAGGAACACCTTTCCTCTCGCTCCTGTCAAACTCTTATTTATCCTTCAAAACCCAGCTCAAATGGCATTGCCTTGTCATGCATGGCAGCCTCCCTCCCCTCTGTGCTTCTCCGGCCTGCTGTTCATGTTTCTTACATGGTGCTTATAGAAGGCCAACTACGTGCTCAAAAGCCTGACACTCGACCTAAGGCCCTGTGGCTCTATACACCACTCTCTGCCTAGTGCAGGGCAGGAGCCTCATACACACTGCCCAAATGCATGGCCACAACCACAGGTCCGGCCTACAGGTCCGGTGCAACCCAGCCCCTGCAACTTTTCTGCTCTCACCTCCAGCCCTTTCCCCATGATCATCTGTGTCACACCCCAGTGGCCTTTTTGGGTTCCTTGAGTCCCCTATAGTCTTTCCTCCTTCAACTCTTCTTGTCTCCCCCTGCAAAACACACACACACACATACTAGTCCTTAGGCTGGAGCGTTTCCTGCCTTTTCCTCACCTCTAGCCCATCTGTTCCACAGGCTCATTTCCGGGTGCTGCTCCAGGCAAGCCCCCCATCACCTCCACACTGGGCACAGCACCCACACAGAGCAGACAACGCATGCTTGTGGAATAGGTGCATCAGTATGAAAGACGGCAGTGTAATTCAAACCCTCCATCTTAGGACAGTTCCAGCCCTCCACGCCACACTCTCCCTGGGCACACACAACCACCTCTGTGATCCTCTGAACGTTATTTACTTTATATTTTTCTTCATATCAGTTCACTTTTTCACCTAGCCTCCTAAGCAATAATGACTGGGACACCATGGCTGGATATGTTGTTAGGTATTTTTTTAAATTACTTATGTATCTATTATTAATATTTTTTAAGTTTTGCTATAGGGCACAAGTGCTCACCAGAGAGAGATGAGAGAGAGAAAGCAAGCCACCAGGTCCAGGACCTGAACCATGGTCGGCCATGTGGGAATGTCCAGCACCTTAACCACCATGCCACCTGCTGCCATGTTATGTATTTTTTCTGATACACATTTCAGTTCATGACTATTGGTGTAAAAACTGTCTACATCGCCCTTAAAATAGTCTTACACAGCTGCATCCACGTTGGGAACCACTGTGCCATCCTCTGTGATTTGGGGTGG